AAAGCTCATCGAAGGAATTCATTTGTTTAGTCAATTACCAAAATTTGGATGATTTTGAATATTCACTTGAAAAGTTATCAAAGAAAAACATTTTTCATTTTGTAACTTCGAGGGCCCGTTACTTGGTAACGAAGGATTTTAGGAAAAAAAGTTATATGAAGTACTGGTGATATTTTGACCCCATCTATACATTCACGAGAGGAAAAGAGGAAGCCCAGGGACACCCTGTATATTTCATATGTACTCGCCAATTTTATAGTTGATTCAATTTGGAAATGGAAAAAATGTCATGTCTGCAAAATGGATCCCTATGTGTCTGAATTTTGACCAGAAGCATGTCTAGGACCGTTTTATGACTTGGGCCCTCATTTTGTGCTATCGACAAATTATGAACGGACTATAAGTGACTGAATCAGGGACAATCACAGAAAAACAGGAAAGGGAAAAGTACACGTGTATAGTAGAATTGGTAATTACAGGCATATACCTGTTTGAAATTGTTACTTCCTGGAATGTGATTAACGCTAGTGAAGTCATTGAAATAATGAGAGTTTCTCTTTGTGCAACTCTTCCTCCTGAGATTAATCTTGGAATCAAATATTCACCCCTGCACAATTCTTCACTTTGTTCTTGTTACTTTGAATCTGTTTGGATCTTGTTTGTTAGAACGGGAAAGTTTGGAAACTTCAATATTCACGATTTCAAAGTGTTGTTTCATATGTAAACTGAGAGTATTATGAAAACGACTTCAATTAAATTTATTTCATTAGTGATAGTCGTACTATTGTTTGTTCGTGAATCCCACAAATTTCCATAATTCTCATCCACAAAGAAGGTACGTGGACGCCATTGTTGGAGATGGACCTCATTCCGTGTTGTGAATGTCCGCCGTTTTATAACGTCCCGCATCAATATTTAATTAAAAATAGTGTTATTAAAATTGTTCTAGTGTTTAAAAATGAATAGTGCTCTCATTCACGCCGGTTAGAGGCCGGAGTGGACACTCCCCACTACTCCCACATGGATACTCCCACGTAGATACTCCCACGTGGGAGTAGAAGCACATTGGTGCCTACAAAAAACGTACACTTTGGAAAGAATAAACAAGGGGTGCAGTACGTAAAGCAAGACCTTTGTACCCCCTCGAATAGATATGGCTTACTGCGCCTGAATATAAGCAATAGCCAATAATAGAGAGAGAGAAAGAGAGAGTGAGGAAGAGGGTATATAATTTTTGCCTTCATCTAATTCATCATTTGGAGTTGTTTCAAGTCATACAAAGATCATGAGAATCACAACAACATAACTAGATGCCGCTGACAGCAAAAAATCATGAAAGGTTGACGTTTCACGAATTGCAATCGTTAGTGTTGAAAAAAATGTTGACAGGAATAGATATTGTAAGGGGCGTTTCATCTAGATGGTTATTCATTCAACTGGCCGTCCATGGATATCTCTCGAAACTTCCACCATCAACGTTGGTGTTCCCCAGGGATCCATATTGTCTCCAAACCTCCTATTGTTGTATATCAACGAATTATTGGGAAAAACCAAGAATCCAATATATTGCTTTGCTGACGACAGCACACTCTTCTCCAAATTCCATTTGGATTCCGGGTCATCGGCTATGGAGTCACATCTTCACCGGCAGCAGGGCGGTATATCTTAATGAGGACCTAGAAGTGATTTCGAATTGAGGTGAAAGTAACCAGGTTCAATTCAATGCCACAAAAATCCAGGCCTCAGTTTTCTCCATGAAGACAAATATCTCCGAACCGGATATAATAATGTTAGGTGAGACAATTGCGCTTTCTGCTTCGATACAGCTTGGAACACTGTTTCGAACCAGAAAACTATACACACCTCAGCAACTTTTGATGCTTTATAAAGCTCAGATCAGACCTTGTTTGGAGTATTGTTGTCATTTATGGAGCTCTGCTCCCAAACATACCCGGAGGTTGCTGGATTCTATCCAGAAAAGTGCCATTAGCCTGATTGGAGACGCGAACATAACGTGCAACCTTGATAGCCTGGAACATCGAAGAGAAGTTGGAGATTTGTCTCCCTTCTGAAAATATTTTCACGGGAAGTGTTCAAGTGATGTGGCCCATTGCATAGCATCTCAGGCACTGAGAATTATGGAATTTGTAATGAGACAAAGTGCACATTTCAATGATATTAAACTGATTACTACACTTTATGATAGTTTGGTCAGACCTAAACTTGGATATGGGGCTGTAGTATGGCTTCCTTTCTATATTGTTCATAAAATAGATTAGAAAAAATTCAAAACAGATTTCTGAGATTTTTATATTACAAGAAATATAAAGTATAACCGGATCATAATACAATTAGAACAGTAGCACTACGAAATGAATTTAAAAATATCCAGTCTAGAAAATAGAAGACAGGCAAGTATAGTGTTGATGTGTTATGGAATATATAAAAAACAAGAAATATAGTTTGCTTGGGATTTTTATTAGGAGTTTGCATCACCAACCTTGAAATAAATGATCTAAAATACTGAATTATCACTCTGGAACACTCTTGTCACTGGATAAAAAAACAAGGTCTCGAAATTTTCTCTTCTTTCCAATGAAAGCTTTAATAAGGAATATTAAAAAAGTACAGGGCCTCATCTCCAAATAGACTCCTACTCTGTTTCTTAAGCTCCGGGTTTCCTGCAGCCAAACACGTCCAAGACGATCTTCTCGTTGTGAGCGATTCATTAATGTTTTTATGTTATTAGTGGTTCTTGTACATTGATAATTTTGTAGGCAGTTCTTAATTTGATTGAAGAACAACCTACTACCAGTACTAGGAAGATTGCTTTCCAGCTAAATGTTGATCATATGACGGTATTTCGAATTTTAAAGGAACAACTCTCATACCCTTGGCATTTGCAACGAGTACAGGTACTGTTACCGCGAGACTTTCCGAACCGTCTTGAATTTTGCAATTGGATGCTGGAAATGATTAGAGAAATTGTGACTTTCTGAAGACGATAGAATTCACAGACGAATGTAGTTTTTCTCGGGACACGATTATTAATTTTCATAATTATCATATATGGGCTGATGAAAACTCTCACGTTATTGTCGAAACTAACCATCAAGAACGGTTTTCTCTTAACGTGTGGCTCGGAGTTATTGGGAATGATTTAATTGGGCCTCATTTTCTACCTCCTCGATTAGATGGTGAGGCATACGTTCAATTTTTAAGAGAAGTGCATCCAGTACTGCTGGAGGAAGTTCCTTTGGGCGTCAGAAGGGATATGTTTTTTATGCATGATGGGGCTCCTGCCCATTTTAGTCAAGTAGCACGTCAGCTTTTAACTGAAACATATGCAAATCAGTGGATAGGTCGAGGAGGACCACAGAACTGGCCCGCTCGATCCCCGGATCTCAATCCTCTCGATTTCTCTATTTGGGGCCATTTACAGCATTTGGTTTATCGTACTCCTGTTCGCTATGTAGAGGACTTAAGAAACCTCATCATCGATGCGTGCAGAGTAATCAGAGAGACTCCAGGAATATTTGAGTGAATACGTGGCTCAATGCGCCGACGTCTAGACGCATGCGTAATGTCTGAAGGTAAACATATTGAACATTCACTATGATTTCTACATGTTGTGTGTTTTGTTATTAATA